GTGCAAATGTATGGTGTTGATTCCTGCCTTTTTTGGGAGAGAAATGGAAATCCTTGATGTCATCCCTTGAACAAAATGTTTAGGTTTGGGGAAGAATTTTACCTACAAGTGAGGGTGCTTGTGAACATTACCAATATATTTATGGATGACCTGGAAGAAAAGCACATTTTGGACTCCACCAACAATCCCATTCCATGATGACATCCTGTTATTTAAACGTTGCATAGATGATGTTTTGGTAATCTATAAGAGCGTGGACACAGTGGAACTGGTGGTTAAATAACTTGCACGAGCATATAAAAGTTTCATGGCAGTTTGACATGAACTCCATTCATTTTCTGAATGTATTTTCCGGTGTATAAGACGACTGGGCATATAAGACGACCCCCAACTTTTCCAGTTAAAATATAGAGTTTGGGATATACTTGTTTTGTTTTTCGGTTGTTTGCTACACTCAAAGCGCAGCATGTACTACTGAAAGCGATAGAAAGACCAGAGTACCGTATTTACCGGCGTATAAGATGACCCCCCATTTCTGAGAAGATTTCCCTGGGTTAAAAAGTATACACCAGAAAATACAGTATTTATTTTATTAGATTTATAACCCCCCCCTCCCCATTGAGGCAGATTTACGGTGGCTTACAATAAAATGTAAAAACAGATTAAAACAATAAAATAATTTTAAGGTGCTATATATAAATATTACATATATGGCGATGAAACATAGTTTTTAGATAGGATACTTATTTATTTATTTAATTTCTATCCTGCCCTCCCTGCCAAGGCAGGCTTGGGGCGGCTTACATAGCACATAAAAAACAACTAAAACAAAGAAATTGGATAAAAACACAACACTATAATTACAAAACACAACATGATACAAAGTGCTAGTACGGTTTGTATAACGATGGCAGGCTTTAGCAGCACCCACAGGCATACAGTCAGCTAACGGCATAGTCTGGGTTGTATCAGGCTGTTAATAATTATGTTAATATTGGGGCCAGGGCCTCACTTTATTGGGTGCGGCTCCCTAGTCAAAGGCCTGGTGGACGAGCTCAATCTTGCAGGCCCTGCACAACTGTAAAAGTTCCTGCAGGGCCCTGATGATCTCCGGGAGCTCATTCTATCAGTATGGGGCCGCCACTGTTAAGTAACAGCACAGTACAAGAGCCTTTGATAAATTCCAAGGCAAGGCTCTGGTCTTATGTTAAGATGTTAAGTGCAGCTCCTCAGCTGAATGCCTGGTGGAAGAGCTCCGTCTTGCAGGCCCTGCAGAACTGTAATAAATATATGTATGTTTATACAGAACTCCAGATAATAAGTTGTCAGTATGGTTATATCAGAAACGCACTGACAAAATTTAAGAGCTCCGTTAGAGATCATTTCACTCCAAAAGACTGATCAGTCTCCCCTAGAGTCAATTTCTCCGAATTAAAAAAAAATTCCTCTAGACGGGAGGATTTCCTAAGGGACAGTGAGAACATGTCCATGGATTTTGCCAATAGGGGTTAAGATAATAGGGGTCAAGTTAAGAACTTATGCCATCTGAACTGTTTTTCAATGTATTGGGCCACTGCACCTGTTGTACTAGCAAAGTTACAAATTCTTACATGTGATGGTTTGGTCTGTCAAGTGGAAATGTTACATATAAGAGGTTCCCTTTAAGAGGTTTTGTATGTGTTCCATGGCGGCGCTGGGACTCTCCCAATATGCAATGGCCCCCATACATCAGGCTGGTCACACGCTTGACTTGATCTTCGCGGCGGGGGTTACAGTGGACCGGATTACTGCTACAGCAGTTCCATTGTCGGACCACTATGCCCTGAGGGCCCAAGTGAACTTGTCACTCCAACCCTGTTTGGGTGGCGAGTGGATTTTGGCTCACCCGCAGAGCCTAATGGACCCATTGCAGCCCTGGCGGCTCATTAGATGAGCTAGTCGAGGACTGGCATAGTCGACTCTCGGCGGCCATTGATGAGATCGCTCCCTGACGCCCTCTGCGCCCTCGCTCAAGGCTTGTTCCTTGGTATACCCAGGAGCTGAGGCTGATGAAGCGAAGGCTCAGAGAGTTAGAAAGACAGTGCTTGCGGGTTCGCGACAAAGCGTCAAGAGCATCCTAATGAACGTTTATGAAGTCATATGAGATGGCAACCAAGGCTGCGAAGGAGTTCTACACAGCCACGATTGCATCTGCAAGCTCGCGCCTGGCACAATTGTATAGAACGATTTGGTCGTTAAACATTCTGCCACAGAGCAAAATGCTAGGGAATTGGATATTGGCTACGAGGCTTTTGCGAGTTATTTTGCAGACAAAGTCTTGCTGCTCTGCGGCGACCTCCCGGCCACACTTGAGACAGTATGCAAACTCGAGGCTCCATGCACGTCTTCTGGACCCATTCTGGATTGTTTTGGTCCTCTCAGCCTAGAGGAAGTTGACAGATTGATCTCAACGGTATGCCCAACCACATGCAGCCTTGATCCGTGCCCCTCCTGGCTAATTAAAGCTGGCCATGAGGGGTTCCAAAGCACCCTTAGGGACATTATCAACAGGTCCCTCTGAGGGCCTATTCCCAGGGGCTCTCAAGGAAGCGATGGTCCGTCCTCTTTAAAAAAATCGAATTGGTCAACTACCGGCCAGTCTCCAATTTGCCTTGTCTGTGGAGTGCCCCAAGGGGCGGTGCTCTCCCCAATGCTATTTAACATCTATATGCGCCCCCTTGCCCAGATTGCCCAGAGGCATGGGCTTGGGTGTCTTCAATATGCAGATGACACCCAGCTCTATCTGTTGTTGGGTGGTCAGTCTGGCTCTACCCCGGAAGATCTGGACTGGGCGGGATGGCTTAGGCTGAGTCGACTCAAATTGAATCCGATGAAGACGGAGGTCCTTTGCCTGAATCGGAGCGGCTCAGGGGTAGGGGCCCCTCTTTCGGCCCTCAGGGGGGCACCGTTGGGCTCTCAAGGAAGCGATGGTCCGTCCTCTTTAAAAAAATCGAATTGGTCAACTACCGGCCAGTCTCCAATTTGCCTTGTCTGTGGAGTGCCCCAAGGGGCGGTGCTCTCCCCAATGCTATTTAACATCTATATGCGCCCCCTTGCCCAGATTGCCCAGAGGCATGGGCTTGGGTGTCTTCAATATGCAGATGACACCCAGCTCTATCTGTTGTTGGGTGGTCAGTCTGGCTCTACCCCGGAAGATCTGGACTGGGCGGGATGGCTTAGGCTGAGTCGACTCAAATTGAATCCGATGAAGACGGAGGTCCTTTGCCTGAATCGGAGCGGCTCAGGGGTAGGGGCCCCTCTTTCGGCCCTCAGGGGGGCACCGTTGGTGCCAGCGCCGAGGGTCAGGAGCTTGTGAGTGCTCCTGGATGCTTCCTTGACAATGGAGGCCCAGGTAGCAGCCACTGCCAAGGCAGCCTTTTACCACCTTCGACTGATTAGGCAGTTGGTCCCCTTCCTTGAACGCAATGATCTGGCTTCAGTGATCCACACCATGGTCACCGCGAGGCTAAACTACTGCAATGCTCTCTACATGGGGCTGCCCTTGGGGCAACTCCAGAAGCTGCAGCTGGTACAGAACGTGGCAGCCAGGCTGTTGATGGGCCTCCCCGGGTGGGAGCACATCCAGCCTGTGCTGAAGTCGTTGCACTGGCTTCCAATAGCGTTCCGGATTTGCTTCGAGGTGCTGTTTTTGACCTCTAAAGCCCTGAATGGTCTGGGGCCTGCCTATCTGAGGGACCGCCTTTCCCCGTATGTTCCCCCAAGAGCACTGAGATCTGGGACACAACACTGCCTGGCCCTCCCTGGGCCTAGGGATGCCAGGTTGTCAGTAACTAGGACTAGGGCGTTTTCCCTGGCGGCACCAATGTTGTGGAATGAGCTCCCCAATGAGATCAGAGCTCTATGGGACCTCCAGCAGTTCTGTAGGGCAGTAAACAGAGCTGTTTCGCCAGGCGTACCAGTAAGACCTGACTGCACTGGCTGTGTCACACTAGCACTATCACAGAATGCCGCTGTACTTAATTACTCTGTATTGTATTTACTGGAATTTTATGAAATTGTATTTTATATTTGTATTGCTGGTTTTAAATTGTATGTTGGTTTTAAATTGTTTGTAAGCCGCCCTGAGCCACTTTGGCGGGTAGGGCGGGGTATAAATTTAATAAATAAATAAAAGAAGAAGAGATTGGATTTATACCCCACCCTTCACTACCCGAAGGTGTCTCAGAGCGGCTTACAAACTCCTTTCCCTTCCTCTCCCCACAACAGACGACCTGTGAGGTAGGCGGGACTCAGAGAGCTCTGACAGAAACTGCTCTTTTTTCAAGAACAGCTCTTATCAGAGCTACGGCTTGCCCAAGGTCGTCCAGCCAGGTGCAAGTGGAGGAGTGGGGAATCAAACCCGGTTCTCCCAGATTAGAGTCCGCGCACTTAACCACGACACCAAACTGGCTCTCTACACCAGAGATTGGGAGAAGAAACTGCTCTTTTTCAAGAACAGCTCTTATCAGAGCTACGGCTTGCCCAAGGTCGTCCAGCCAGGTGCAAGTGGAGGAGTGGGGAATCAAACCCGGTTTTAAATGTGTTAGGAGTCATTTACAGTCCACCTGGTAGTAATTAGCTGATGGTAAATCACTGATGATATTTTAAACCAGGGATTTTTGTCTTAGAACACAGAGTTCTGGCGGCCTGTATTTCTTTTGTTATAGATTACTTATGTTCGGTTGTGGTGCCTGTTCCTGAAGAACTGTGGGGATGGGATGTTACTGGTGTCCTGTTAACAGGATTGCTTTGTCTCCATCAGCATTGGACCTTACTCCTTCACTGAGAAGGACTAAGAAAGGAAATTGGGACTTAGAGGTGTTTCCAATATTGAACATACACCAGATATTTTGTATAATATTCTTCATCCAGATTGAACATTTGATAAAAATGTACAAGTTATTTTTATAAATTCTTTATCATATTCATGGGTTTCTGGTCTTTTGTTAGTTTTTCCATACCATGAATCTTCACTTTTTGCTTTTGGTTTTTCCCCCTCTCCAGGCATTTATATGGTTTCTCCCCCATGTGAATTCTTTGATGGGAAGTAAGACTGGAACTACTACTGAAGCTTTTTCCACACTCCAGACATTTGTATTGATTCTCCCCTTGGTGAATTCTTTGATGGTAAACAAATTGTGCTCCCTGACTGAAGCTTTTCCCACACTCCAGGCATTTATATGGTTTCTCTCCTGTGTGAATTCTTTGATGGGAAGTAAGACCGGAACTGTCAATGAAGCCTTTCCCACACTCCAGGCATTTATATGGTTTCTCTCCTGTGTGAATTCTTTGATGGGAAGTAAGACCGGAACTGTCAATGAAGCCTTTCCCACACTCCAGGCATTTATATGGTTTCTCTCCTGTGTGAATTCTTTGATGGGAAGTAAGACCGGAACTGTCAATGAAGCCTTTCCCACACTCCAGGCATTTATATGGTTTCTCTCCTGTGTGAATTCTTTGATGGGAAGTAAGATTGGAACTCTGACTGAAGCTTTTCCCACACTCCAGGCATTTATATGGTTTCTCCCCTGTGTGAGTTCTTTGATGGAAAGTAAGGCTATCATGACGACAGAAGCTTTTCCCACACTCCAGGCATTTATATGATTTGTCCCCTGTGTGAATTCTTTGATGGGAAGAAAGGTGTGCACTCTGGCTGAAGCTTTTTCCACACTCCAGGCATTTATATGGTTTCTCTCCTGTGTGAATTTTCTCATGAACACGAAGGCATGAACTCTGAATGAAGCTTTTCTCACACACTAGGCATTTATATGATTTATCCCCTTTGTGAATCCTTTGATGGGAAGTAAGACTGGAACTGTGACTGAAGCTTTTCCCACACTCCAGGCATTTATATGATTTGTCCCCTGTGTGAATTCTTTGATGGGAAGTAAGGTGTGCACTCTGGCTGAAGCTTTTTCCACACTCCAGGCATTTATATGGTTTCTCTCCTGTGTGAATTTTCTCATGAACACGAAGGCATGAACTCTGAATGAAACTTTTCCCACACACTAGGCATTTATATGGCTTCTCCCCTTTGTGAATCCTTTGATGGGAAGTAAGACTGGAACTGTAACTGAAGCTTTTCCCACACTCTAGGCATTTATATGGTTTCTCCCCTGTGTGAATTTTCTGATGAACACAAAGGTGTGAACTCTGACTGAAGCTTTTCCCACACTCCTGGCATTTATATGGTTTCTCCCCTGTGTGAATTCTTTGATGAGAAGTAAGACTGGAACTCTGACTGAAGCTTTTCCCACACTCCAGGCATTTGTATGGTTTCTCCCCTGTATGAACTTTTTGATGGACTCTGAGTTGTGAACTGCGACTGAAGCTTTTCCCACACTCCAGGCATTTATATGGTTTCTCCCCTGTGTGAATTCTTTGATAGAAAGTAACGTGCACTCTCTGTCTGAAACTTTTTTCACCCTCCAGGCATTTATATATGTTCTTTCTGTTACAAACCCTTTGCTGAATATTAATAATGGATATTTCAGTGACATTTTCCTCGCTTGCAGTGCAGTCATTCCTGTTGCCTCCTCGACCTACTTCTTGGTGCAGAGAATCATCCTCCTGTAAAAGCCCGGAATTACTCCTCCCTTTAGGTTGATGTTTTCCCTCCTCCTTCCTCGGTGCATCCAAATATTCAAACTTCTCTTTCGCATCAGAATATGTATCCATCCATCGGTGTTCTTCGGCTTCATTCGATGACTGTCCCATGTCTCCTGCTGAGAGAAAGGGATACCTAGTGTTATGATATAACACATTCCACAAACACCTAATTTTATGTCCCGTAGCACCTAAAGACTAACAAGATCTCCTGGGTATAAGCTTTTGGATTCAAGGCTACCTTTGTTGTATTTAATTCTGCCTCTCCCCCATCCTTCCTCCCTCCCCCATCTATTTACTTTCCACATCTTTCTTTCTCTCTTCCTTCCTTCCTTCCTTCCTTCCTTCCTTCCTTCCTTCCTTCCTTCCTTCCTTCCTTCCTTCCTTCCTTCCTTCCTTCCTTCCTTCCTTCCTCTCTCTCTTCCTTCCTCCCCCTCCCTCACCTATTTGCTTTGTTTCATTCCTTCCTTCCTCCCCATCTATTTGCTTTCTTTGTTTCTCTCGTTCTCTCCTTCTTTCAATCTCTTTCATCCTGTCCACCTTTCTTTCTACCTTTCTCCCCCTCCCTCATCTATTTGCTTTCTTTTTTTTTTTGTTTCTCTCTTCCTCTTTATCTTTCTCTCTTCCGACCTTCCTCCCGCATCTCACCTAAGAGTCTGTGCTACAGCTGACTCACCTCTAGGCCAGGCCAGATGCCCCCCCCCCCAACTTGACTGGCAATTGCTCTGTGATCCTGTCACAAACAACCCCGGCATGCAGGATATCTTCTGTGCAGCCCCACCACCACCACTTCTGAATGTTGCTTGGGATACTAGATCAGCTTTTATTTATTTTTTTCAAAAACATTTTATCATCGGGTTATAACAACATGACCAACATTATAACATTCCCTTATTTCCAATATAGCCCTTTTCCCTTCTTCCCTCCCTCCCCTCCTCCAGGCTTCCCGCAGCGATCCCACCCCTACCAAATTTCTTATTCTTATCTAATCCTTCTCCTAAACCACCGTTTAGGACACTAGATCAGCTTTTAGACTGGCTGCTCCAGGCAACTTGACATTGGCTGTCAACAGGAGGACTTGAATCCTCATGTGGGTTTAAAATATGCCAGAAAAGAAAGGCTATCCTCTAGTAGATGCTGAATTTTATGTTGCCTAGCAAATGTTTATGTGGCAGGCCTGTCAGAATCACATGATCGAGGTTTATAAGACTGTGCCTGGGATAGAGCAGGTAGAGAAAGAGGTACTTTTCTCCCTTTCTCACAATACAAGAACTCGCGGGCACTCCATGAAATTGCTGAGCAGTCGGGTTAGAACGGATAAAAGGAAGTCCTTCTTCACCCAAAGAGTGATTGACACATGGAATTCACTGCCACAGGAGGTGGCGGTGGCTACAAACATGGACAGCTTCAAGAGGGAACTGGAGAAACATCTGGAGCAGAGGTCCGTCAGTGGCTATGAGCCACAAAGTATAGATAGGAACTCACAGGCTGGGGCAAGTGATGCACTGTCTTCTTGGTGTGTGGGGGGGGCGGCAACAGTGGGAGAGGGCTTCTAGTGTCCTGGCCCCACTGGTGGACCTCCTGACGGCACCTGGTATTTTTGGCCACTGTGTGACAGAGTGTTGGACTAGATGGGCCACTGGCCTGATCCAACACTGGCTTCTCTTATGTTCTTATTGACCTGTTCATTGGTCTGTAATGGGGCTGGGGAAGCCAAACATGTTCATCTGAAAGTTATCTGGAGTTGCTTTGGTGTAGAGAGCCAGTTTGGTGTAGTGGTTAAGTGCGCGGACTCTAATCTGGGAGAATCGGGTCTGATTCCCCACTCCTCCACTTGCACCTGGGCTGGATGACCTTGGGCAAGCCGTAGTTCTGATAAGAGCTGTTCTAGAAAAAAAGAACAGCTTCGGCCAAGAGCTCTCTCAGCCCCGCCTGCCTCACAGGGTGTCTGTTGTGGGGAGGGGGATGGAAAGGGGTTTGTAGACACCTTTGGGTAGTGAGGGGCGGGGTATAAATCCAATCTCTTCTTCTTCTTCTTCTTCTTCTTTGTGACATATTACTGTCGCAAAGCACATTCTTTCTGTGCATTCGGTCCCAGGTTCAGTGGCAGCATCTCCAGCTCAAGGGATCATGGAGAATACGGGGATGGGAAACCTCCTTTCCAGAAACTCCGGACACTCTGAGGGATAATACTCAGCTAGATTTGGAAAGTGGGATCGGACCTGGAAAAAGTAAGTTTCACATTTTCATATCTTCAGGGCTGCAGAAATCTACCGGCAAGCCACAGCCCCACCACACACCTGTCAATCCCGCCTCCTCCTCAGAGAACGGAGCAGACAGCTCGTCTTCTCCTTCCAGCCATGATATGAGGTCAGGTTTGGCTGTCACAGGTCCTTTTGATGAGAGAAGAAAAGGGAAAAGATTATAATCCCTCTCAATGTACATCCAATCAGTCATTCTAATGTAGCCAATTGTCAGCAAGCTGCCATGGTGTTCTGTGTAACTTCTGGTTGTACATATGTGATCCCTGTCCCTGCCAGCTGGCCTATGTGTTTTCCCTGCTGTAATGCCAAAGTAAAACAACTGGAGGATGTGAGGGGGAGAGTATGCTTCGCTGCTAGCTTCTTACTTATCAAGCCTGAGAACTGCACCTGTGTTATGTCTACTGTTCGCCTGGTTCCCAGGACCTGAGCAAGCAACCGTTTTCTCCTGCCCGCCAGCGGGAACGTTATCCATTGGTTGTGTATCTAACTTGAATCCCTTTATCATGTCTGCCCTAACTGCTTGTACCCAGTTCTAACAAGGAACGTGTTTGAGTATCTTTCCAATGCTTTGAAATAAACTTTACTTTCTTTGAAACGTGGATTTATTCTCGATGCTTGGGGATCCAACATATTGTTAGAACTCCTTTTCTCCTATCGTCCCGATTCTGGCGAGACCATGAGCGGGTCTGAGGGAAACCTACCTACCACGGAGGGGGACACAGGATCGGTCCCCACTACCTCCGCACCTTTGATTGTTACAACTACCGCACCAGGGGAAGGTGCTGTGGGGGGAGCGATTCCCCGACTGCCTGCCTACCTGTCTTGGCCGCCTCCAACCCCTTCGAATTGGGGTGCGCGGAAGACACCAGCACAGGATGATTGGCCTTTGTACAACACCCAAGGCACCCGGGAGGTGTACTCCCGTCGAGGCAGTGGGCTTCGAGAAAGTCTTTTTGACAAAGGAATGTTTCCCGACGCCGGGAGTTCGGGGGAGACTGGGAGTTATCGGAGAGACGTGGAAGACTGGATGTTTGAGCCGGTGGGGGAGGGAGCCCGTGCAAGAACCTCGGAGGGAGCTGCGGACTTCCAAACGGAAGGAGACTATGGGCCGCCTCCTGAATACCAACCTCGGGAGCCGATCCCGGAGGAGTCGACCGGGGAACGGCTGGAGGAGCTGGAACAATCGGTGAGAGACCTGATGCGAACGGTCCACGATGTGATGGAAGCGTTGCCGGGGATGATGGACATTCGAATGACTAATTTCCTAGCAGATTATGCCCCGCAACCGCAAGTTCCACCTGCACAGGGACCACCCGCGCCACCTCTGCATGCTCCGCCGCCGGTACTACCACCTCCACAAGCCCCACCTGTTCCGGGAGTGCCTGCACCGCCGCCACCGCCGGGGGGTCCGCAAGGGCCTCCGGGACCTGGTCTACCGCCGCCGATGGTGCCACTGCGGGGCCCACCAGTGGTCCCGGGCCCTCCTCTCATGGGGGGTCAGGCACCGCTGGGCCCTGCGATGAGAGCTCCGCGACCTCGACCTAAAGATCTCCTGGAAGCTACGTTTGACGGCAACCCGGATGACCTCGCTTATTTCACGGTGCGAGTTCAAAAGTTCGTTGCGGAGAGCCGGCACTTATTCCGTGATGAGGGAGCGCTAATCGATGTCATCTCAGCAAGATTGAAAGGAGACGCCGCCACATGGTATGTTGGGCTGCACAATGACCGCGGTCCGGATACCTCATAGGGGAGAGGAGAATGATGTCAGCTGCCCTTTCCCTAGGCAGAGGCTGTGTATGTGTGTGTGTAAAACTTAAGACAGACAGGCAGATTAAGGTTGGAAACTTCCAGGATATTTTAGGGATGAAGCCTGCTGAGGGTGGGGTCTGAGGAGGAGGAGGAAGAGGTGGACCTCAGACAGATACAATGCC